GGCTGACGACCAGACGTAAGTTCCCACATAATCATGCCTAAACTGTATATGTCGGACTGTAATGAAAATGGTTCACCCTTTAAAATCTCAGGTGCAAGATAGGGTATAATTCCGTAAATATCATGACAATTTAACCCTTCCGCGGTTTGATTAAATCCCAAATCAATTTCAGCTACAGGATTTGGTTGTCCTTTTGCCATTAACAAATTACCGCTATGTAAACTTCGATGAATTATATTCCATCTGTGAATTGACATAATTCCTAATGCGACATTATTCAATATCTCTCTTTTGTTAAACCAAGTGATTTTCGTAAAGTTGGCTTGCAAATAAACTTTTAAATCAATAGGTCTATATCTCATAACAAGGATATGATTCATAGTTGTAGGATCTTGTGAAATCGCGTAACATTCATTTATGCGCTTATGCTTCTTTGAAAATAAGAATTCTAATTTTGGCTATAAAACATATCGATCAGTGTAAATATACAGTAGATGTTATACGGTAATGTACTGTATCAAGAATTTGAATGAAGATTTATGTACCTCCTTTAAAAATTCAGAATCCAGATTTTGAGATTTATTGAGGATCCTCAGTGCTACTTTTTTTTCCTTTGCCATCATTTTATTTCCATTCTTATATCTGATCGCTTTATAAACTTGACTCGATCTACCCTGACCGATTTTTTCTATTTCCGAAAATTCCTCGTATGGTATCCATTTAGAAATAAATTTTCTTTGTTCCAAATTCGCCAATGCACTTTCTTGTTGTCCTTCCGAACCCACTATGGTTTGGTACTCAGATGTTTTTTCAACCCCGGGCAAATCAAATAGCATTGTATCAATTTCTACATTTACGGTACGTATATGGTAAATGAATAGGTCAATATTAGTATTATGTGATATCGCATACAATACAAAGTCTTAAGTTTAGAGACTCTATAACTAATCCAACAACTTACTATAATGCATTGAGCCCGGATGACAATCTCTCCTAAATGGTGTTGTCGTCACCGGCGAGTCTGTCGCTAAAACGGTGCACTCTTCGCGTGACGATAATCCGAATGCTTGGATTTCG